AATGGGCGTAGACTCATTTCGGTCTGGGCTGAGAGCCAGCCGTCTGAAGATATGCTTAGCAGACAGCAGTTTTAGCACCAGAGAGAACTCATTATTCATTTTGACAACAGAGAATGGTACAACCATACAACGAGAGGGTCTTTTGTGCCTGGGCTGCTTATTTATAAGATTTAAAGTCAGAGACTCTCATTAAACCCATTTCCGCTTATTTTTGGTTATGTAAAATAACTCCGTGATCATGCAATGGCCACATATTTGTAACCTATTAAATTTGGAAACACGTGAGGCGATCTAGGTTTGACAAAGGATGTTAGCGGATGCGTTTCGACTGACGCTAGGAGTCAGCCGTATGAGGCAGTGCTTGATAGAGGCGCCGGACGAAAAACTCATGCATTATTTAAAAATAACTCTTTGCTGTATAAAACATATCTGACGTCGGCAGAAGCTTGTGCCTATCAGGACTGCGTGTTATCATGTTGTATGTGTAACGAATTCCTTTACTTGGCATACGTTATATTACTTACCTAATCTTAATGGCGATTGCACGTGAAATAGTGATGTACCGCGTGTTTCAGCCAACGATCGTCCACTGTAAAGCGGAGCACTTTATCGCTAAGTGGGCTCGCCAGATGAATATCGTAAGGCTTTGTTCACAGTTATCTGATAACACCTGACAACGTGCGACGATACGTAAGATCTGTTTGAAGGTTTCTTTCCGTGCCGCCGCACGCATCGTTCCATTCCAAACAGAAGATTAACTCGAGAATTTCCTCATGCGTAGACTGCTGCGGCCGCAGCGACTACAACCCCCCTTACTAGGATTCCCCGGCCTAGCTGCAGATGGTAAATTCTACTAGTCGCTGCGCGTCGGGCTGCCCATTGGCGGGGATCAACGTGATGTCAGCGTGTGCATCTACAGCGCTGCAGTAGCGTTAGGGGGCAACAAAAGAGAATGTTGAAAATGTTCGTATTAAACGGGGGTAGCAGCAGCAGCGCCAGCAGCAGTGGCAGCGGCGGCGGCGATGCAGAAAGTCTCGGTTTTCTAGCTGCACCGTGTAGGGCGCACTGCTACATCAGATGCGTCAGCTCTCCTTGTCGACAGCCGCTGCCGCCGCCGTCGTCGTCGCCGCTACCTGCGACATCAAAAGCAGGAGTTAGGTCCTGTCTGATTTTCCCAAGCGATATGAATTATCACATCGTCACTATTCGGATTCGATAAATTATTTAAATGTATGCACGCGCGAACACACTTGAAGTAGTTGTCTCTGTGTCGTATAACTTCACGGTTACCGTATTGTACAGTCGAGTCCGCTGCAGACTGTCGCCAGCAAACGCCACTATGTGCCTGGGCAATTGTCGACGGACCGATGACTCTTAGGCCGTGTAAAATCAACGAGAGTCAGAGTACCTTTTTTACGTTTTTCCGCGTAAAATGTAGATTTACTCAATATGCATTCATAAAGTGGTCTTCTTGTGATGACAAGACCTGAGCGCAGATGTATGTGCCGTGAAACGGTATTAGCGCACAGGCTGTGCCTGTCTCTGAGCAGATTAAAAGACGACCTTATTAGTGATAAGGATCAAATGAAGGGAAAGTATTAGATGTGTACGTGTTGAAGTGTGCAGGACCTGCAATGTGCACAACGATAGTCAAAGTGAGAGGCTAGGGACGGAGAAATGACGAGGTCATTAACACTCAATTAAAAATCAGAGGAGTGTTTTAAGCAACGTTTGTAGATTCTGCGGAAAAGGATCCTGTGCTCAAATTAGTTCTCCGCCTGCGGATGCGTTCCTAATGAAACAAATCACAGCATCACTGGGTCAGTTAACGGTTACAAACGTAAATGTCATTGACCAGAGTAGTCGAGCGTACACGCTCCTCTGTTGTGGATCCACCTCTTTTCTACATACACAGATTATTTTAGGATGCATGTCTAATGGCCTCTTCCTGGGCTAGAAGCCGCCACAAAGCTCCGTACGAACAAAAGGTCGAATCCAAAAAAAGAAAGGCGCTTCCTGTTGTCAATCGAAGTGTTCCTGCGATGTTTAGTGGACATTTTTCTGCGTTGGCTACAATGAGCGACCTTTCGTCCCATTTTCCACCTTTGTTTAATAGAATTATAATGGTGATACGTGTTGTATTGTTGTTTAAGAGCTTTCGTAGGCAAAATTCTGTCGGGGATGGACTCTCTCAAAATGTTATGAACCACTTTTTTTGTACAAATATTGTGCAGTCGACAATCTAGATTGAATCAAATCATTAAACAAATACACAAAATGAATCCTGCTCCTTTTACTTTTAGAACAGTCGACAGCCGTAAACCCTCATTTTATAGCTAGGACCACCGTTGAGTTCCTGTAGAAAAAATCATGTATAGAATTGAAACAATGGCATCGTCCCAAAAGCAAAGAGAGAGAGAGAGAGAGAGAGAGAGAGAGAGAGAGAGAGAGAGAGAGATACTCGCCGAAGGTCATTACGCTTCAATTGCTTTAAACCTCTTCCTAGGGAACGTTGCTAAGGTTTACTCTCTGAATTTGTATGTTAAATGGCATGTTACTAAAACAGATCGAATCGGCAACAGGCGTGAAATATATTTTAATATCGTTAGCGTTTAGATACTTCGAGCGAATACCGGCCGTTGCCTATTTACAGTCATCGGTGTATGATCCTTAGCGACAGTCAATGGTGTAACAAAGATAATCGCCGAACTGCGAGAGTCATCATGGCGAACGGACGCACACAAAAGCAGAAGCAACAACATAAACAGCAACAATATGGCGCCGTTCTCCATCTTTACCTTCCGTTCACTTAACGGAGTTGTTCGACTTTATCGCTGCGGGCGCCAAAATGAAGCGCGCTTTGCTAGACTTCTAAATTCTCAAGTGACGGTGGATGTGTACCACCTCCCATAAATCCGCTCAAGCTTTTTTTCTTTTACAACCATAACAACTTTGGCCACGTCAAACAGCGTGCGAATGCCACCGTCGTCGTCGTCGTCGTCATCGTAGTTGGCGGAAGAAGGGGAAGAAGCGGCACCAGCAGGCGCTATCACGAGCCAAAGGATCGGACGATCAACTCATTTTATGACCTGGTAGGCGGCCACTGATGGCCGTTAAGATATCGTTTGACCAAGTCAAATTGGGGTGGGCCGCACGTTTAGGCGAGAACTCGAACAGCAATCGTCAATCGATAATATGTACCTTCCGCCACAGGAACATGCCGGTCACGTGCTTATATTATACGTATGTAATGCTGGCAGTTGACCTTCAGGAGTAAACAGCTCTTAATAGTTTCTCCAGGAGTTTACCGTCGACGTGGCTCCGATGTTAAATTTCACTTCGTGTGTTCTGTGTTCGATGTAACGAAAACTAACAGATGCCTCATTGCAACCCGCTAAATGAGCGGTATTGATTTACAACGACGTAATAAAGTGACCGTGTTTTAATGAGCAAAATTTGTATCGTTTCAACCCCGGCACATGAATGGCGCTAATTCTTGTCCCACCCTAAAGCTTTACATTCAGGGGAAGACGAAAAAGACTGACTACGACAGTGGGGGAAATCTGCTATGTCGTTGAGTACGTACTGAGCTCCGCTTAGATCTGGGATCTTCTCGTACGTACGGCATGCTATACGTGTTACGGGAAGTGGGCTATTGTTGATAAACTGCAAATTACATTATGCATGCCTCGAGTAAATTTATTTCGATCCTATGACGCCAAGCATTACTGAATAGATTAGATGAACCGAAAATATTTCGTACGACTTGCTTCTTGTACCACAGCCTGCGATAACTGGCTTCAGGGAGGCCACTCATTAGTAGCTAATTACACGTACGTACTGTTTCCCTGGTGAACGTCGTACTCATTATTCATCAGTCCTTTCATCCATCGAGCCATTAAACCTGTAAAAGATGTTCTCACCGCTACAGTTTGTGTTGGCTTCATATCGCTCAGATTTACACGTAGGCTAGCGTTCATCTTAGACGTATGATCTAATGTTGTTTGATTCGTTATCGTTTACCTTTATCCCTATTCCCTATGCACCTATCCCCTTCATATGTTCTCGTTTAGTCATTCATTCATCTATACGTAATCTAACAGCATAGCCCACTGCCTGATTACATCCCGCATATCGTTTCTGTATATACGGTCGTTAATGTCGTTGTTTTTTTGATTTCAATTATGCATTCCAGCATCGGTCGCGCTCGGCCGATTCGCACCATCAGACAGACAACAGCTCGCCGCCGACAGAAATGGCGCTCGGTGGCAGTAATTGTTTCGGCTGTACCTGGTCAGACACACACATTACTACATCACCATAGAGTTACCGGTCCGCCTGTCTGTCTTTAGCCACGCAACGCAGCTCATAGCAAAATGGCGATGATGATGCTGCTGCTGCTGTCGCCATTGCCATCGCCGCTATCGCCAGCAACAACAGCAGCAGCAGCAGCAGTAGAGGCAGTAGCATCTTTCATCTCACGATTCGTGAGGCACCCCTCATCACACAGCCATTTTCACACGCGCACTCACAGACGGACAGAGATAGACCCATCTGCATGCAACCACAAGCAGCAGCAGCAGCAGCAGCGGCGGCGGCGGTGGCGGCATAGAATGGCACGTATCGTGGCATGGTAGCGGCGCTTTTAGCAGTTCCGCGGCTCTCAGACAATAATCAGTTCAGCTCGGCCCGACTCAGCCCGCTTCTTCTAACCTCGCCCGCTCGCTCGCTCGCTCGTTCCACCACTACAGCCGCAGCCGCAGCAGCAGCCGCGCCGCCAGCAGCAGCAACAGCAACAGCAGCAGTCTCCCCTTCTCAAGGATCAGCGGCAATTTGGCCTTTGGTGGCGGCGGTAACGGCTGCGGCGGCAGCAGCAGCAATGGCGCGTCATTATGCGGCCCCTCCCATTGGGCGGGCGGGTGGCGACAGGAGCGCCCTCTGGACGGCTCGGCTCTAGCGGGCGCCACTCAGCAGTCTGCCAAAGTCGACCGAGCGGCAGTGCGCTACGGAGCTCCGCAGTAGAATCGTTAGTGTGGCGCCAGTGGCCACCGTCAGGCAACAACAGCCAGCGCCAGTCGTAACAAATAGTGGCGGACGGAAAGTGGTGGTGCTGCTGCTGGTGCAAGTGCTCTTCGACCAACTTGCACAACGCCAAACGGATACAGCGGTTGGGACAGTTTTGTGTATTGTGAAAGATATTGTTCACGTCTAGTGAATTCCCAGTCCGGATACGTTGAGTGCTAGTGTATACCCTGAGGAATACGTGCTGCTTGTGCTTTGTTACCCGATTGGATACTAATAATCATAACAAGGGTGGCTTAATCGCCCGGCCAGTGTTCTTGGATGGCTACCACCTAGCATTACGCTAGTGCAAAAAGCTTCACCTGGATACTTCACCGGACCATAGGCGGACTGGCGTTGGCAAGGTACGTGTATAGTTGTTCTATTCTGTGTAGCTGGCTTGAACATGTACGATACCATAAAAAAAAAAAAAGTTGCTTCCTTCACTGTGCAGCCAGGCGAGCCGTTGCCGCGCCGGCCACTATAGAGCTGCTGCTGCTGCTGCTGCTGCTGTTGCGGCGACGACGACGACGACGACGACCCAGATGTAAATGTAGCTTCAGGGAGTATGACGCGAATAGAATTCAAGATGGCCGGCTTGATCCTATGTCGATGAAATTCGTGATTTGAGCAGTATTTCTCACGAGTACACCTTCGGTCTATAGCACATGAACAATGGGTTGTTTATTAAAAATAAGTTATAGGTCCGAGGCTGTGCTCCTTGAAATGCAATTTCGTGCCACCCTCCTTGAAGTCGCCCTCTCCTCCAGTCGCCCTCCTCGCAGCAGCGGACGACGATGCTTCGTTCGTTGGCTCGTTCGTTTTTTCTTTCACTCTATATTGTTCGTTCTATTCGCGCCGCCGCCGCTGCCGTCGCCGTTGCCACGACCATCACTACCAGAGCGCTAGCGGACTGCCTGCCTGCTTCGTTCGTTCGTTCGTTCGTTCGATCGTTCGTTCTATCGTCAGTTCTTGATGCTGCGCTGACCGGGCTCTTCCACCATTTCACTGTGCAATGACGCTACTGCGACTACCACCGCTAGCAACAGCAGCAGCAGGGCCGCTGCCAGCGACCGACCGAACGACGACCGATCGTCCATGCCGCTGCGCGGCGTTAGTAAGTGGTACGGTCCGCTTTGGCTGACGACTTTGTTCGTCGACGCCTTACAGACACACGAATAGGTATCGGGGGGGCTGCAAGCGACGGTGGCGACAGCAGTTGTGCAGTGGCAATAATGTTATTACTATAATTAGTGATAGAAGAGGAACGGAAACAATAGTGTTTAGTAGTTGTAGTGATGGTAGAGGGTACCCTTCAGGATCGCAGTGCTTATATTGCTGTTAGTGATGATGATTATATTGTAGTGAACGTATCCGTATCTAGCGACCGGTTGCTTAATTCGTCAGTTAGTTATAGGTATGATGGCGATCATTTCAGCGTAGGCTGCTGTCATCCGCTGCTACTTGATGCTGGCTGTTCTATCTACAACAGATCTAGCAGCATCCAGTCAGTCAGCTCGTTGAACGAGAGGACAATGATGATGATACTCTTGACCAAATCGTCAGTTGGGTTCACCCAGCGCGCCAGGAAGAGACAATAGAGCGCGTAACGAGGGCGTCTTTCCAACACTGGCAATACAGATCCGCGCAGTAAAGAAGTACTGGTAAGTGACGACCGGTCTAATGTCCGAACAGTCTGACGGAGACTATCTGGCGTTGCTACAGCAGCCCAGATCAGTAGAAAGTAACTGTTTATTCAGGGAGGACTTGATCTGGGACTGGTTCATTCGTCGCCATTCAGTACACTGTAGCCCGTGGCAAGCCACGTTTGTCCTCAGTTTTCTCATGCCAGCGCTCTCTTAATCGATTCGAGGCTGCAACCACTACAGCAGTAGACGGGGCCACCTGGTGGTGGCTCTGCTGCCGCTGATGGTGCCTTTACTCTCCTCCTCCTCCTCCTCCTCCTGCTTCTCGCTCGCTCTTTCCCTCCTTCCCTCCCTCCTTCCTTCCTTCCCTCCCTCCCTCCTTCCCTAGCCGACCTCCTTCCCGTCCCGGCCTACCCCCCTCCACCCACTATCCGTTACTAGCGCGACCACTCTAGCCTGCTGTGTCCTACCCTGCTTTGCTGCCTTCGCGCATTCAACTGCCACTGCCACAATCGACGGCATCGCCAAGACCTTTGGCGACTACTACACTGTGGGGCGACGGCGGCTATCGTTTCATACCACATCGATGGAACTGGTAGCCACTGGGGACGGGGCCATCATCATCATCATCATCAGCAGCAGCAGCAGCATCAGCCATCTGAGAGGCGGCAGCAGCTGAACACGACAGGCAGGCGAACACGCCGACTCTACAGGGCAAGCACAGATTCCCCACACTAGCACTCGTTTGCCCACCAACAGACAGATAGACGCAGTGGTGGTGGTGGTGGTACATGACTCGGTCGTGGGGCAATGGGGACTGCCGGATAGCTCCATCCACTATGTGGTCCCATCGAGGCGAGATGGAACGAAGCCCCTCTTCTCCCCTGTCTCTACCTCATCTCTGTTTAGGGTCCGAAATGCTCCGGATGGCATTGCGGCCGCTGCCGGAATGAATCGTGATGACGATGGTGAATCGTCCTGTCGCTAGCGGTGTGTCGTAGTCATCGTAGTCATTGTCACAGACAGCGACGATGAGCAGATTTCTGATATCAATGGATCTCTTGAGAATGACAATAGCACTAGGATACATCTATATGTCGTTTTGGGGACTGCTCAAACGTAGCGCCCCTTTAGTAGCGTTAGTGAGGAAGAAGGATAAGAAGGGGAGAAAAAAGGCATGAACAGAGGCGAGTACTCGAAAAGGAAACCAAATGGCAACTATGTACTGTTGTCTTCAACGCGTTTACCTCATTACGGTTCCACGTTTCATCCTCTACCGCCCGAGACTGAACAGAATTCTTCTATTCTCTATGAATGTGTATTGAAAAAACAAGCTAAACAGTAATCTCAAGTAGGCACTAGCTAATTCTATAACTAGACCTAAAACTAGTTTCTGTCCTCGACTTTCTACGACAGATGGTCTTTATTCCTCATCCCGATGCTTGCGATGGACTTTAACTCACCACAAAAAGACACTAACGGCTACCGCTAATTTTGATCAAATAAAAAGTATCCATCCTAATTTTCTATTATTTTTTTTGTCTCGGAAGTTCACGTAGTTACGAATTCTGTTTTTGACTCAGACAGGATTAGTTGAATAAAACGTGCGACAACGTGACTATCCTTGCCGTTTATCCTTTTGCCCATCATTTGATTCTATAGCCATCTTCATTTCTACAACTCCAATTGTCCGTTACAGTGACCTACGAGAACCAATATCGAGGCCAATGATATAGCGGTCTATATACACCTCAATAAGATAAATTATTACGCAGCAATGCCTAGACCTGCTGTGTTGTCGGATCAGTTGCTAATTGCTTGTATCGATAATCGTGAACTGAGCTACAGCAGACGATAACAATCAGCGTCACTTGATCTTCGGTTAAATCGAATTTCTGGTCGAACATTTTCATAATGCTAGAACGTTTGCTGCGAGCAATTTAGCTTTAGACTTGAGCATTTCAACAGAGTAATGGATTCAAACCCAAACTGGTTACCATCTATTTCTCTGTGGTTTACACTTGAGAAGCCAACGTTAGCACGGGTCCGTGCTAACGTTGGCTTCTCCGCGACGGCGACTCCTGTTGATGACGTTTAGTCTGCTTTGTCGTCTTGTTGCTGTCTGAACTGCTGGACGTTCATGTGAGTCAACAACAACAAGCAATAGAAACCTGATCACGGTGATGACGCTAATGCCGTTGCTGGTCGTCGTCAATGAGCTGATTTCTTTCTACCGCCGTCTAGTATTGCTGTTGGCGTTCAGCAGTCGGCTCGCCATAGAAACAACAACAATAGCAACAGCTGTAGCAATAACCAACGAGTGGACAATAGCTGTCGGTCGCCGTGTTTGGCCGCTTGTGCCCCGACTGCCAGACACAAGCCAAAGCAGCAGCCGCAACAGCATAGGCGAACGGCAGCCGACGATGCGCTATAGCAGCGACTACGGCAGCAATTGTGGCTGCGAGTATCATCCATTTAGCCATTGCCGCGACCTTCACACACAGACAAACGACGAGAGAATAGCTCTCTGATGATCCGACTGCAGCACTCATACTTTATTGGCTGGTCGCTGCCTTCTATTTCAGGGTGATCATGTTCCTAATAAGCATCCAGAGGTCAGCTGATGCCTCTCTGCCTGGCTCCCAGTTCTAGCGTTACATTAACTATTCGGCGTCTATCGCTAGACCCGTCGAATATTTTCAGTTAAGTGTGAGCCAGTCACACTATAAGTGAGATAGCGAAAGCTCCGGGAGCAGTTTCGGAGCGAGGCTGCGTGGAAGATGTTTCTTACGTGCACTCTTCCTCTTATTTGCCAGTTCGCACGCTTATGCTTTTCCTTTCTGTAGCACAACGTGCTGTACGTATAGCAGTAGCAATAGCAGTACTAAAAGTGTAATAGTAGAAACAAAGCTGGTTGGCGTGGTCGTTGTGAAGTACAGTCATTTGCTGGTTGATTGTTCCTCCGAAGTCCGCTCTCTCTCTGTCTCTCTCTCTCTCTCTCTCTCAAATGCCGGTGTGCACACAGACACACGCACGGACGGCCATTCAGACGTCGGCGTTATTTTATAGCACTTCACCCGATCGGCTGTAGCTAACGGGTCGGCATCTCCGTTGTCGTCGTCGTCGTCGTCGTCGCCGCCGCCGCTGCCGCCGCTGCCGCCGCCGCCGCGCCGTCCGGAATGTCAGGCTGTCTCTGTGCCACAACGACAGGCTGCCGCCACCGCCTCCACCTCCGCCGCTGGTGATCGTCGCCGAATAGTTACATGCTGCTGCTATTCGCCATCCGCTATCTTTCGTCTTCTTTTTCTTCTGAACAAGAACTTGCAACGACGTTAGCTGCGGTACTCGTTCGAGCGTGCTCAAGCTGCTTGCGTTTGCCGAAGAGACTATTGTACGGTCGGTCAGTCGAACTGCTTCTATAAGAGGACGGGGAAGCGACGCTGCTATGTGCGAGACGGACGAAGGAAAGGGGGTAGAATCAAGCAGGGTTAGCTAGCAAGGCGCTGGCTGGCCGGCTGATAGGATGTGAGTGAGTTTGGTGGGAGGACCGAGAAAGTTGTGTGGTAATAGCAGGTTAGTGAGCTGAGCCCTACCCGGACGTCAAAGGACATGCAGCAGCAGGCTCTGGGGTTGGTTAGGGTGAGGGCCAAGGCTTTGTTCGTACTAAGGCCAAGGGATTTTGGAGGTTGAGAGAAAAAGGGAAGGGCGAACCGTCAAGGGAAAACAGGCGGAAGCAGCAGTAGGAGTGAAGGCCTGGCTGGCAGGCTTACTGGTTGAGCCATGTCGCTGTGGCCATGGTCCGTCAACGTACGGAAAAGGAGTCTGAGCAAAACTAGGCTCAGTGAAGCAAAAGGGACGAGTTTCTTACAGTATGAAAAGGAGAAAGAGTAGGGTCAGATCAGGACCAGGAAGAGCGCGCTTCCTACAAGGAATGGGGGAGACGGAAAAGACTTTTCTTGTCAGAGATCAAAAACGATAGATGTTCATTCCTATTTCAACCACTCCAGGGTTATTAGATGACAAACGACTGCAATCTGGATAAATAGAATGTAGACAAATAATATACATGATAATTTATGTTGTATTGCTTATTTTGATTATTTCATGTCATCTGCAGAGTTTCGGTTCGTAGATTGGCAGCTCAAAGCGGAAAAAGGTCTATTCTAGCTTAGCTAATAGAGGACAGACTAGTTTATAGACATGCAGTAGTTCATGAGCAAAGTTACGCACTCATTGGAACTACACTAGCTAGATAGGTAGAAATAAATCAAACAAAATAATGGGCGATGTGTCCATCTAACCAACAGATCGATATCTACATTTACTCTACAGCCGGTAACTTCAATGGAGTCTACATAGGGAGCACAGCTTCACAGGGGTAGCAACCCTAATCCCAAAAAGGATCAAGAAAAACCGACACAGAACGCAATGGCAGGCTCCTGCAACGGACGGCCAAATCTGGCCTCAGTGAATCCGAGCCTTACATGTGCGCTCTGCAAAGGCTACCTTGTCAATGCCATGACGCTGATCCGATGCATGCACTCATTTTGCAAAAGCTGCATCCACAGGCACCTGGATACGAGTAGCGCGTGCCCAACCTGCCAGCAGCGTGTGTTTCGGAGCCGCATGGATCTACATATGGTATGTGGAAGTGTCTTCAAGAACGGTTCTTTGTCTGGCATGACGCACTGTGAAATCTGTAAAAATTTCAAAATTTAGTGTGAATTCCATATCTTACATTATTCGTTCAACTTCAGGTGCCGGACACGACAATTCAGTCGATCGTGTATAAGACAGTGCCAGGATTATACGCCAATGAAATGCGCCGCCGACGGGACTTCTATGAGTCCCAAGAAGAGCCGACCGAAGCATTTGCTGAAAAATTGGCTTGTGGTGAAGACCGTGGATTCCCTAGCCGTAACATCTTCACCAAAGACGATAGCATATCGCTCATTCTTGAGCATCGTCAAGACGAAGTCGGATCCCAAAAACTGGATGATAGGTGAGTCGTGTGCCATTAGCAGTTATATCCCTATATAGCATTCGCTAAGCCTAGTCGTAAATAAGCATCCTCGTTCTGAAAGCAGCTAAAAGAATATTTATTGGTTTTAGGCATTTGAGCTGTCCGGCTGAAGTTCCTGTATGGGTGGTTATAAAGTTAATTAAAAATAAGTTTGCCCTACCAGCCCCATTAGCAGTTCATCTACATCTAGAAAAGAAGGGCATTAACAAATCTGGGAAAAACAGTAAACGCGCAGCAAAGGATCACGCAGAGCTGTTGGAGCAAGATCGATTACTTCTTGACCCAGATCTTACACTTATCGACGTATGTTACATTGCTGACTATAAGTTTGAAGCGCCCCTTAGACTCAGTTTCAAGTTCGTCCGGTACGATCCAAGTCTTAACGGTCGGACTCAATGTGAATCACCGGCAACACTTCTTCAACAGAAGAAACAATTTAGCGTCCCATGGAATGGCGTTTCAACCACTAGTAATGGTCACTCGTGCATAAACGGAACCGTGGATTACGCTAAGTACAAAGTGAGTAGAACTTTGTATTATATTTAGGTTAATAGGGAAATAAACATACGCTATAATGGGTTATTGTTGAATCGTTGTTAAGATGACAGTACTCCTTTCAATGTTATTAGGTGGACACAAAAAGCATCGATATGGCGCGAGGCGCGCTGCTCAAGGGTAGAATTAGCAACAACGGCGGTTCTACCAATGGAACAAACAAGAATAAAACGTACTCGAGGGCAGGTAGTACAGCTGCGACAGCTGCAACTGTTACGCATATGGGACATCTATCCCAACTCAAATCTCTACCTCTTACCGCTGTTTTAAGCAGCTGCAACGGCGAGAATACTGGCGACTCAACGGAAGAAGAGGAAGCTGATAACGACTGGGACTCAAATGTTTCAACCACCATCGACCGGACATTGACCACGCAACAACAACAACATCAGCAACAACAACAACAGCAGCAGGCGGCAAATAGCCACCTGAATCACCTAAATCATTCTGCCTCAAGTCTTCAGCCGATTAATGGTTTGTACTCTAAGGAAACAAGAGATCCCCTTTTAAAGCTACTTTATTAGAATTTAAGTTACCATTCTCAAAGTTGAACTTAATTACTCATTAATTATTATCGTTACAGGAAATGTAAACAGTTGTGGTCAAGCGTATTCCCTCAATCGGTCTCATCAAACAGCTTCTTCCATGGCGTCTCCGGTCGCCGTGAGCTCCTCGAAACATTCCAAGCTGCAGACTCTGCCAATGTTCTTAGGCCAATCTCAGATGCTGAATCCCGAAGACGACACTGGAGCACGCTATCACGAAGAAAAGAATTCGCCGATAGTCACGCGGCCGCAAGGTCTCAAGGTCACCGACCAACTTGGCCAAGCACAACCTGTAATGCAACAGATATTAGTGTCCTCGCTTGATAACAAGATGGCAAAGCCCGTCGATAATAGCAAAGCACCGTACCCTGCAGGTAACAAACAGTCAACTACAGTGCCAATGGTGCAACACTCCTCCACTTCTGTAGCCCATCAGAAGTATAGCCAAGCTAATGCAAAGGCCAGTCATAAGCCGGTTAGCGCAGCAGCAATACAAAACAAACAGATAGGCCCAAGCCATACCACTGCCAAATCTTTAGCTAACCCCCTGGCGACGTCACCGACGAATGCATCCGCTTCGATAGTAGAAGGCAAGTCGCCGACAGTACTAAAGATTAAGCTAAACATAAGGCCCAGCGCGGGTGAGACGCTTTCGGTGGCATCGCCACCATCCGTTCGGGACCAGCGCCAATCATCGGCGGAAAAAACAACTGCCGCCTCGAACAGCAACGGTGTTGCGGCAGCTGTTCCTACTGTGTCATTCCCGACGACCAGCAAAGAATACCGTTCGGTAACGTCAATCAAGATTAAACCTCTCGTCGCGCCCTCGGGACCCGTGACGCGTAAGACACCTTCGCCGCCAGTAGTGAATGCGAGAGATTCTCGTGCTGCCGCTTTGGACGCACGCAAGAAGCGAAAGCTCGAGGAGGAAGCTAGAAAACTTGATGAACAAAAAGCAAAGAAAGGAAAGAAAAAATCCTCCGCGCAGCCGGTCATTAATGGAACACCATTCGTACCCGGTGAGTGACCACGAAATTTCTTTTTGAGGAATACGCTTCCTTTTTGGTATTCATAAGACAAGCGTTCAACCTTGTTGAATTTGAACCTGTAAAACAGCTTCACGCGCTGTACAAACGAAATTTAGACTTGTTTTTTTTTTTTGTAGATGTGAACTAAATAACGACTAGCGTTACTACTGATATACTAAATATTGAAATATCGATTCTTTTGCAGTTCAACATAAGGACCTATTAACCACTCATAGCTTCGGTTGGGGTAGTGCAGCAATCCTATGGGAGTCCCAGCTTCGCATTCCTTCTCCCTTGATTGTTCCTTTTACGGTGTCCTTTGCCAGACACCAAAGGAAGTGTCTCAAGCAGACGGACAGAAAAGAGCGCTCCTTGAGCCTATCTGCAAAGCGCTTTAAATTTGCACAAGACGTCAATAAGCAGGACGTGTTTCTAGAGAGAAACTTTGGTTTGCGCAGGCAGACGCGCGTGGTGAAAGAGCCCCAAAACCGCATCTGGCGCCGACGCCGTCATGTGTCACCCCCTCCAGTGCAAGTTAAGCTGGCACCGCCCGATTTCGCAATGTCGCCCGTCCTCGAGAGTGTTTTAAAAGCCATTGCTTTAGAAGACGCAAGCGACATCAACTCGGCTGAATCTAGGACCACTCCCCCAGTGGCTTTGCGGTTCGACACTTCTGAATCAGCTCTTCAGAAGTCGGAACTTTTTTTAGAGACAACTCGTTCGGAAAACGGTACGAACAGCGACGTCGGCGCTGGCGTATTCCGGATGGAATTCCCCGGGGATTTAGGCGCAAACGGCAATACGAGCCGCGGAACACCGGTTGAAACAGCGATAGTGGCCAGTCCTGCGCCTCTTGAGCGGCGTGTCTCATCGTCAAGCAATTCTGAAGTTAAATTCAGTATCAATAGCATTCTCTCGAGTGATCTCGGTGTTGGTCATAAAAAGGCCACAATTGAAGCCAAACCCGAAACTGAACGCCAACCAAACATACATGGGATGATTGAAAGTTATCTCGCTAACTTGAGCAAATTCTTTTGCATCCTTGAATCATGCAAACCAAACGTGCGGGCCAGTTTACAAGCTGCGTGTTCTGAGAAGAAAGTTGTTTTGATAAAGATACTCGCCATTCTTCGCAACGTGAGCTTAGCTATGGCTCCTACCCAAAGCGACAAAGTCCTCGAACTTGCGGTACTTATTCAGAGGCACCTGCTAGCCAGTGATCTTGTCCGATCTGCAGGAGTGCAAAAAATACAATCGGACACGGCCTCCCAGAACGTATCAGAGTGTAATACGACGAAAAAGGCTTGCCGTATCTACGATGTAAATAGGTACGTATAATTCATCACCATTCGCAATAACAGGACAGGTTTACAGCAAGCGAATCGTTATAATTATAATAGTTCGCCTGTAAGATGACGTAACACGAAAACGTACATTTCTTTTTGTAGAAATCAACTGCCTTTAGACGGAGTGTCTTCCTGTGCAGAACAGAAGATGACACCCCCTCGTCTAGTCAGTGAATCACCGGGAACATCAGTTTCGGCGGAGCCCACGGTTCAGACTTCCACCCATCTGTGTTCGCCCACCATCGTACGCCAGGTATCTGGCCACGGGACACAGAGGTGCGTTCATCTCTCGTTTTCTATCCGTTGCTGCCTGTGATGATAATGTGTCTCTGGACTGTTAACATAGCACAAGTATATAACTGTAGAATGCGGAATTTCAGGAAACCATTTCAAATGCAAGAACTCCTCGTGAAGGAACTGGCGTCCGCGTTGAAGCGATCTATGCCCTCAAGCGAGCAGGAGCAGAAATCAGCCTTTGAACTGATCACTATCAAGCGCTCATCATCAGTAAGTAGCCTCAATACATCGGACGGCTCGGAGAACTTTGGAGACGGCGAAGTGGAACCGAACCGATGGGAAGACGTCGAAGTGATTCCACCGCCCCGGCCATGGCCCGGATGCCCATCTGAAGTGTAAACCAAACGATCGAATAACCTCAGTTACAAGTTTCTTTTATCACTTATTGGTGCCTGCGCGGTATCGATCGAGATTCGCTCGACCACTATCCAGAACTTCCAACGATGTGCTATTGTATTCCGCTCAGAGAGGACTGAGAGGACTATTCGAACCGAATTGGGCATAGTTGAACGTAGAGCATGTGGTCTGCGGCGAATCGAACGTGATTGATTGCAAATTCCCAGGATAGAAGTTATGTGTTTAACATGCGGAGTGAAGAAAACAATAAGCTTGATCTAAAGGGAGGCGCCTCACGGAGAGAAGAAGGTAAAGGCTGCTAATGATTTGTCGTTGGTCGACTGGACCCTTACAGGAGTATAACAATAGCGTAATTATTATTTATTTGAATGTGCGAATATTAACTAAAAAAAGTACACACACGCACAAAAGGAAAGAAACAGAACACACGTATGTAGTTGGATGTTGCCGTATGCTGCCGGCCTACTTTGCCTTTTTACTTTTAGCCGTTCCGCAAACATGTACTCCCCAGCTCCGCAAAAAAAAGCGATAACTAATAATAACGGGTCTACTATCTGGATAATCGTCTCGCGTCATTTGCTAACAAACACATAAACATCATTTTGCCGCACTGTGTCTTCTATTATTTTATAGAATATTTATAATCTACTAATCGTTGGACAATTAAGGTACGAAAATACCGCAGCCATCCAACATCGTGTGATAACTAACTCTAGATGCCTGAAATGCCCACCACCGGGTAGATATCACTCACGTGTAGGCAAATAGATTCCTACCAAACGCTAGTCAAATTCATATAGGAGATACCAATCGTAGAGAAGAAATGCACCTATATATATATATATATATATATATATATATATATATATATGTATGTTTCTTTTCTATATATATATATATATATATATATATATATATATATATATATATATATAATGTAAACGATAACGCTGCTAGCCTAAGGATAACGCATTCCTTCCAATGATTAATATATGGTGGTGAGTAATAGCGTGTGTGTAAGTGTCGTGTACTGTAGAATGAGTTTCTCCTGGGAGTGTTTTGTGGAAGAAAGAAGAAACTTATGAAACGTGTCTGTATGTCAATAGAGAGCATTAAGAATAACGCATTTTGCGTATTGTATATGTTAATCCTTGTCGCTACGTAATATCTGTGCGTGTGCATGTGCGAGAGAGCCCCATGTGTGAGTCCGAAGGAACAGGATTTAAAAGGACCACATATGTAATTAATTAATAAAGCAAAACTGTTTTATCGTTGCTCGAACTAATGCAGAAGGAGAGATAATGAAAAAAAAAAGATACAATATTAATGTAAATAAAAGTGCAATATTTTAATGACAACTACATATCTCTAATCATTTTGCATGCCCCGTAGAAACATTTCTAGGCAGGTATCCCGATATTTGGCGTACAAAAAACTCACAGAAAGAATATCTGCATTAAGTTACTTCTCAGCAACTCAGTAGGTTACAAATGTGTATCTATCAGGTTATAACTATGGTCGTTTGAAGCACAGAAACACTATAGGCCGAGTAATGATATAGTAAGAGTTTTATCTCTTAAGATTTATCTTGATAGATAAAACTCTCTCTCTCTCTCTCTCTTAAGACAACGACTAAAAGCGGCCTGCCTCGTACCTAAAAGCATGTACAAGGGCAATGACGGCAGAATCTATCTAGTTAAGTTAGTTAATGGGACTCTTGCTTTGGGTAACGCATTGCATTGCCCGGAGCAAACTTGCAATTATTTAACTGTTAGAACTTTTGAGCTGAGAGTGTGAGCTCAGAAATCTTGTTAGTACGGGTTAGCTTTGCTCCGTTGTGTAGTTTGTATGTTCATTATTTTGCGTTGCCGTACCTAATTTTTTGATGACTCCTTGCATGTTACCCCGACTATAGCGCAGAAACAGCGATAACTGTATGGGTTCAGGTTTGAAAGATATGGTGATGAAGCTTTTTCTTATTATTGAGGCTCGCTGTCCATACGGTAATTATATTGCTTTTAAGAAGTTGCAGTAATTCGTTGTATCGGGTGTTGTGGACTATCAGATCATTCATCCGTAAGGCACCTCGGAAAATTGCGTAGAAAGATGAATATTTGAATGTCTGAGGAATATTGCATGACAACAGAAATCTTTATAATATCGCTTTAGCAAGATTCCATTGTTCCAGAACAGGAACGAGGCACTTTAAACGAATCCTTTTCGTAGATGCTTCTCGACACTACAACGTCCTGACCTTAAAACACCGGTGATTTGAAAAGCACTTATAAAAATCCGCACTCGTAGACCCATAATATTGTAAACAAATAAATATCGTCATAGTCAGGCCATTTTGGTCTGATTAAATTAACAACAGTCGTTTGGAGCAGAGAATTAGGGTGCAACGATCGACAAAGGACGACTTGGGTCAGTACAGAAATAGCGACAGTTTCTGTTTCTTTTCCTTTTATTTGTCTACTGTTTATTTGATTATAGATATCATAGGAAAGTTCCACGGGTCGATTGTAACCTGCTGCCCGTTGTGTAATAAAGAGTAACTCAAATTCATACTTTAAAGAAGAACGTTTCTGGTGAGCAAAGCATCTTTAACCTCTGTTCTAGTTCACTTTTTGCTTAGGTCAAAAGGCTGCTCGAAAAGTCCTAGATATTGTCATAGCTGTGTACTCACAGCAAGAACTCTATAACTAAGAGGAGTACTTAAACAAGTTTGCTACGCTCAAAGACGGGGTCGATTACCTCAAGTCGACAAGCTATGCCTCCGGGCGGACATACCACATATAAACTGGTTGTGAGGATAGGTTACAAACACACGATTAATTTCGTCGGATTTTGTCAGAAATTCAAAGCCTGGATGCTCTGCAAATGAGGCGAATCACGGCTCGTCATTGGCCCTCAACGTCTCGTCCAGCAATGATATCTGTCACGGATGACGAGAGGTTACGTCTCCACATCGATATGGACCAGCGAAAGGAATGAGTAGCTAAGGGAGATATGCGTAGGCCCAAAGTTCTGTTTTAACAAGGCTATCCGATAGAAACAATCCGACAGACAAGTCAATGGTTGTTAAAGCCGCCCAGCGAGAGTTTGGCTGGGAGGCTCTTTTGTACTCACTGTATTAACCAGACCTTAAGAACAGTACATTTGACAATAAAGAAGGTCTCAGAAATTGGGTGGACTTCTTCAGTACAAGACCTAACGGCTTCAGACTAAAGAGATTCAATACGGGTATAAGAAGGTCATAAAGAGCGACGGCGAATACAGAGCAAACTATTTCGTTTCTAGAATTCGAGCGCGAAACCCTGCGTTTTCTATTAAATGAAAAAAGTCACTCTTTTTAATGTACCAGTCTAATCGTTGTTTACCTTCAGAAGTTTTAACAACCCTCGTCCGTATCCTGCAGCCCCAGCATTCTCTATTCCATTGTCGCTCGCTCGTACATTGACTCCTTTCTCAAATGTAGTTAGTAAATTGTCCACTTAAATGGTGACAAGGTCCGGTTCGTACAAGCCTAAATCGAAGGAGACTGCCAAACCTACTATTCGAATGCCTTAATATTTGAAGTCTTGACATAATCAACTGTGGCAGTAGCAAAATGCCAGAGATACAGAGATCCTGATATGTCCACTTACGCTATCTGATATGCATGAAACACCCGATGGTAACATTCTACATAATAAAGTATTTGAATGACTGTTTCAGTTGATGTGTGTGTGTCTGTATCTTTGCGGGTGATTACCTGACCCTGTGAGGGTGCAGATAAATGATGCACTTTTATATATGCGGGTGCGCGAATGTCAACCTGTTTCTACCACGCTAAACAGAATAACGAGTATACACAATGAGAATTCGAGGAACGGCTGTTACTGTCGCGAAGAGGCGCTGCTAAATGTAAAACTCCATTTATTATTTGGCTCCTATTTATTGGCCTTAGCCTGAGTTACGTTTATGGCGCGAGTGCATCGAGTAGTATAATGCTCGATGCCGTGAGCCAATCCGCCCACCGATATTAAACACTACGGAAGTTGCACGAAGTTGCAACATTAGATTCTGTACTATGGTTACATCCATTTGACATCTATCGATACGTACACACGCTATTGTCTTCGCCTGCTGGCGTCCCAAATAGACGTATTCCAGTTCCGCTACTTATTTCGTTCTCAATACGATCATAACCTTCGTCTTTGACCATGATGACACTGCTGATCGTGAGATCAGTTTTTTTTTTTACTGAATTTATGTTATTTCACCGAAGATGGATTAACAAGACAGATCTTGAAGAAAGTTGCTGTTGTTGTTGTCGGCAGGCGGATGAAACGAGTCCATCATCACCAAGCAACGATCACTGTCCATGTTGACGGTAGTGATGCCTCGGTGATGCGTTCGGTACCGTCGCTGCCCATGCGTGCTTTTATAAGCTACTCTATAGCTCTTTTAAGTCTGAAACAATGCTGGACATATTGTACCCTGTGAACATACGTGCATGCACATGGCTTCAGTGCACGCAGAGTGTAACTGTCTTCGAATAGGGGAATTCTTTAAGGTGTACTCGATAAAAAAAAAAAAAAGGAAGATAAGCTTATTCATCCACTGTAGGCATAGATTCATACGTTTTATATGTACGTACGCATAGATAAAAGCACGCAAAACTATTACGGTTATATGCTATAGCCGCAGAACGCAGCCCTAGCACTGCGCTCTGTAGCTATAGCATATGCAAAAGATGGGACACAGGAGATAGGTTTGAAACAGGGCTCCCCCTTCTTTCGACCTAAAGGCGGCACGCACTAATATCGCACAGACTTCGTTTCCGATTCCCGGTCGCTTGTCGCGTACACACAAAGTAATTTCTTATTCTGCAGATTTTCGCTTTACTGCGCTCACCTTTCCGGACAATCGTTTTGCGTGTAAGCTGTATCGTCACAAAGATTTTCCTCAATTTTCAGATGACAGTTACCTAATATGCACTATTGAGCAACTATAGCTTATTTTTCAACAATCGGCGATGCGTTCATATCATGTCTTCATCCGCCTATTCAACCTTTACAGTACATTGTGTTCTATGTATAAGAAGAAGTTGTTGTTGCTGACCTTAGCGTTATTGTTGTTGTTGTTGTTGTCGTCCAAGTGCGTTGTTGTATTCTTAGACGGTGCTGCACGGCCCGCTGGGTCTAGCGGACTGTTCTGTCCCTGTTTAAAGTACTGACATTGCGGCGATCGCACTGTAAACGCCATCGTTACCACTCTACTGGTGGTAACACAGCCATTGAACGATCAAGCAGTTAACCAACCGATCTATATTCCTTCACTCGCCAATGGAGCGTCGTCTCGATGCTGCTGCTGCCGCTGCCGCTGCCGCTGCCGCCGTCGTTAGCGTCGGCCAAAAAGAAGCAGCTCGCCGCCCCAGCTGTTGGCTGGCCACATACAGACAGACCGACACATTTACACAAAAAGCATCACGGCGATTGAACGGGGCAGAGGGACGAGGATATGAAGACAAAGTTTAAGAAGATGACGACAACAAAAACGATAATAATAGCGGAGTGGCAGTAATGTGATGCTGAAAAAGAAAGTGCAACCTTTTCAAGAAGTAACGAATGAACGAAAAAGCACATTTGTTGTTCTACGCTAGTCCTTTCCCACCTCTTCTTCCTCCTCCTCCTCCTCCTCCTCCTCCTCCGCCTCCTCTATCACTACTGCTTCGACGACGACGACGACAACAACTATGTAGTAACAGATATTGATACGCATGCATATTTTACTGCGGCTAAACGCTTAAGCTAGAAATAAACAAAAGTATTAAAAAGTCATAACTAATTTTTTTACCCTCTGTAAAAGGAAAATTGAATCATGCATATATATTCT